AAAGAGTTAAGAATTAACTATTATTGTAAAACATATTAGAACCTGTTTTGAGCGGACCCAGGGTTCCGCTGAATACAGGTTTCACTGTATGTCAGTTAACACATTCAGCAACGACTTTTCACTTTATTTTCATTTCCACCGCGAAAACTTAGCTTGCATTATGCCAGTAAATTTACCATGACGGAAATAGCTTGAATTGTTAAATAGCTGGGGTTTGGGTGATTCTAATGCGCACTCTTATTGGTTGATTTATGGTCACGCGGCAACAGCTAACATCGAGATTCTCCGGAAGACAAAATCTTGCTGTTTCCTTCGGGATCAGTAATTAAGTTTATAGTACAGTACGTTAAATGCTACAAAATGTAAGGTACAATAAACTACAGATCTAATAGGCCTTATCGCGGTTTTCGACGCCATCTTGACGGATAGGGAAAGCTGGCAGAAATTACAGTGTTTCACGGTATGGGTATCCGATGGCAAATAACTTTTTCCAAAATTGAACTTTACACAATTTGTGAATCGTAACGTTAAAATACCAGGTAGAAGATTGTATTCACCAAGTTTGAAGGATGTAGCTTGGCTAGAAAACGCTTAGTTGATTATTTTAATTTTCCATACATTTGTCTGTATTCTTTTGTTTCCCGCAAACCGCGTCTACCCAACCAAATTATTTACAGACGAGTGCCCGTCCCAGGAGAATACCTGTATGGTTAGTACTCGTCCGTGAAACCTTTCCTGTAAACAAGCGGGCTTAGAGAAAAAAATTGAACAACGCAATTTGCCTGTTGCGAAAAAATATTTGAAGGATAATAACCACAATAACCTCCATTTGGCGCGAAAATATGCTCAGATATTTTTCCTTGGACATCAGCTGTTTCGAGAAGCCAACAGTTTTCCGAGAGCGAGCCTATTGTCGACAGAAATAGTTTAGATATATTTGCAATTTCTGATCTTTGTTGTTATTCCAGACAGCTACTCCGGGAAATTTGACTTGCCGAGGCCGGGAATCTGTTGGAGTAATGAGAAGAATAAGATGAAGACACGTTTATCACGTCTTCTATTCACATTCGAAGCATTTAATCTTTCAAAAATAAAAATGTAAATATATACAAACTGTATAAAAGCTGTAAACGCGGTAGTTCTGAATATATCTCGCTCTTCGAACCTCGTCAGTCGTCCGCCATATTGAAAATATCAATTTTGTGGCAATAGCTGCCAAACTAAATTTTATATTTCCTCTTATTTATAAGTTATGACTGATCAGCATGCAGAAGTTTTGGACCGCAGTTTTGATCACCTTGACGTTTGTAGCATTGGCGTCATCAGTTCAACTGATACTAGAAAACACAGACGACGAACACAATTGGAGTTGGATTAGTAAGCCGCCTGGACCATCAGGGGTAAGTTTAAACGCTAACCTTTAACATGATGACGAACTTTAATTTAAGCCAGTCCTTTCCCAAGGCAAATAGCGTGTCGTCCACTGTTCCACGAGCGCTCAGTTATTGCCTTGGCGGTTTAAGCAGTTTTTTAAGCAATTTGAGCGCGAGCAAATTGCTTAAAAACCACCAAGCTAAGTAGGCTATCCGATGAACGGTTCACTTAGCTTGTGTATATCCGTCTCCTCCCCTCAAAAAAATCGGGGAGATTTTTTTGAGGGGAGGGGACGGATGTACACAGGGTACAGCTCAGTGGGAACACAGTATTTGGGTTTTACTGCATTGACAAATCCCGAGGGGGGGAGGGAACTCCCATATAAAAAGGATGGGGGTGTTCGTCGTTCATTTTAGGGGTTAATAAAGAAGGTTTGGCACCTCTTAGGTTGTTAAGCCTCAAAAGCAGGAGCTTTTGTGGTATTTTTTCCCACACTGCTGACGACATGCAATTAATCCCCATCGAAAAATTATTTTTTAACCGAGACTCCGTAAGGACCGGGAAGCTTTTTTTAATTCAAAAAGGCAGAACAATTGATTCCGATGGTCTGAACGTCCGTGAAGAAACATATTAATTGTTTCCTTTTATTATCTTTTTTTCATTATTTTATTTTACCATATGCATATCGTTAATTTACACTGTCAATTAGGTTTACGTATTTCCGGTGTTACGAAAATATGCTACATAAAACCACGTCCCAATGTAAAATTCTCATTGAACCTAAAGAAGGCTGGTTTGGCCAGCCGAAATATAGTACACCTTCAAAAGAATCATCCTACGTTGTGTTGTTTAAGAATTTGTACCACTTAGGGGTGAAAAAAATTCCTAGCCATGTCCACAAAACAGGATCTTGGTAGCGCTCTTTTTAAAATTTTCTTCGAGCACCCCCGTCCTTTTTATATTGGAGTCCCCCCGGGAAACAAATACCATAACCAGTATTTGATTTTGAGTTTTAATGACCCATTGATTGTTGGTTGATTTGTCACTAATTCTTTATTTTGCAGTGGGACAGACGGACTAACCCTACACGATATACGGCTTGCAATGTTAACTTACAACAGTCAAACAAATGGCTGTTGAGTTATCAATTCACAGTCGGAAAAGCAAACAGGATCGATATCACTGTCACTTACCGAATCACAAGTTGTCCTCAGTGCGTAAATGTTTTTGACTTGTACGTAAACCAGTCAGACCAGTTTATTGCGGATCAAGATAACTATCCTGACCCTCTCATTGACACAACAGCGTATGAAAGAGTGGCAGAAATTAAACAGGCTATCAATTCGAGAAATTCCGAAACAGTAAACGTCCTTGTTAAAGGACAATATACTATCTTGNCATTGACACAACAGCGTATGAAAGAGTGGCAGAAATTAAACAGGCTATCAATTCGAGAAATTCCGAAACAGTAAACGTCCTTGTTAAAGGACAATATACTATCTTGGCATTCCATAATTATGGAGCTTGTAGTACTCTGTTCTCTGTGAAGGTCAGTTATAACATTTGCCCTGATGAAACACTCAGAAGTAATTTGGTGTCACTACCAAGGACTGTAGCGCCAGCAAATGATTTAGAACGCATTCGAGTTGAAGGAAGCTGTATCAAAGATGCCGTTAAAGTACATGGCAGTTTGTACGTTCACTGTGAAAGTAATGGCGAGTGGAACACCACTGGACTTGAAGGAAGATGTATTTGTAAAGAAGACACGCAGAATAATAGAGGGATATGCGAAGGTAATGTTGCTGCGATTGACCGTTGTGGTCAAATATATTATCTTTTATTTTCTTGGATGGCTTTTTTGTTTCCTCTTTCGTTTCAGGAATACTGAGCTTCGTCTCTCTTTTCAAGAAGATCAAGGGAAACCAGCTTGTACTATTTCGCTTTATTGCAAATGCAATGAAAACTTTGTTGAACTTGTAACTGATAGCAATCATTGAAAGGTTTCTTGGTCAACAAGTGCGATGCTGTAATATTAGCACTTAATGACTGGGCCCAAGGGAAACAGTGAGTTTTGTTTCCCCGACACCCTCAACATTGAGGTCGAGGGGAAACAAAATTGACTGTTTCGGGCGGGGCCAGTCATTAAGTGTTTTGTTATACCTCCCAACCCAAAAGAAGAAAAAACTGCGAGAAAAATCATTTGCTTGACACCTACGGTGGCTGTGCTTGCAGTACGAGTGGCGGTCAAACCGAGCTGTCCCACTACCGAAACGACACGATAACAGTCTTTTTCTTCGCAGCTAACAAAAAATAAAGACCGTAATTAAGCAGTTTTGCCTTCTTCTAATGGTTAACTCGAGAATTCTGGGTTTGATTTGACGAAGAGCAGCATACTTCGTTGTTAATTATGACACAATTATTTTCCTACCTGACGACAGCGATCGAAGAGCGAGTTGGGGAACGCGGGCGACCCATTTTTAGCACCAAATTAAAAGCTTGAAGACACAAAATGTTCAAATTTTCCCCACTATTAATCTAATATGTTTTTGCAATTATAAATCCCTTTCCTTGAATAATGAATGCCTTCTCTAGTGAGAAACGTTGCTCTACTTCAATAGCTTTTTGCCATCAGGCCGACTGGCACACAAATTTGCTGCCGTTTCAAGGTGCACGACCTGATCACGTGCGAGGCCGAAAGTTCAAGTTATTGTTTCCTTAGGGAGTTAGTGAGTTTTTTCGCCCTAGGGAGTTAGTGAGTTTTGACCCATGGCACGTGACACGTTCTCCTCCAATCGGAAAACGTATTTGAGTTGGGAGGTATAACAATAGAAATTATTTCCCATTCTGCTATTCCTATCTCAGTTGGTGCATTCTTGTTTTAGCTTGTCCAGATGAAAAATACAATGACCAGACGGGCCTTAATTGTACGGGTAAGAAATGCCTTAATTTTAATTTGAAACGCCTCGGAATTCCAAAAGTAACGCCGCCAACTCCCTCCCCTCCCCCCCTCGAAAGGTACGGTTCCCCCGAAAGTAAGGTGTCTTTCGAAAGTAGCGGCACATTTAGCCTGCCGAATCCGAAAGTAACGGCAGCCGTTGGTACTTTTGTAATTCTACGGTACATTGTGAGTGGGACTCTTTTCATATTCAACGGCTTTTATCCTAGTAACTTTTACACTGTAAACATCAATTCGTCTATTGTGCCCTTTGATTTCATCATAAATCATAACGTTCAGTTGGAACCACTACTTTGCTGTCTTGAGATCGCATCTGCATGGGATTGTCCTCAATTTGTGAATTTCGGAGAACAGGTAGCTTTGTTAGAAAGTAAGTAAAGTAACATGGCATGAATTAAAGGAGCTCAGTCACGGTATTTTGAGTTATTTTGGCCACATACAAAATTACCTTTAAATGGTAGGAGACCTGAAAATAACAATTTAATAAGATAGAAAAACACTAAAGAGATAATGATCAACCATAAAGGAACAAGGATGGCCAAGGATGGAGAAGATTGACACGGATTACAAACGACGAATTTGAAAAATTGAGGCTAAACTTTTCAATATGCGCAAACCGTGACGTGGCTCCTTTAAGTAAGTAAGTAAAAGTAAGTAAGTATGATGAATTAAAAACACCAATACATACTGTTAGCTACTCTTTCTTCATAAAGTGTATTTTAAACACCGAGGTAATTTTGGCATGCCTTAGTTGCTTACTCATTAGTATCTTGAAATACTAGTTTCTTTTCGCTTTTAGTTTTGCCAACAATCCCAAGGGGAATTAACGTTACATTCGTTAACCAAAGTGCAGTGGAGTTAAGATGGCTGGCGCCTGCAATAACCGGTGACCAGACTCACGTGTACTATGACGTCGATTGTCGTATGCCATGTGAGGATGACAGAGAGTGTTTAGATGAGGCGTGCGAAAGTGTTGTCACTTACTTACCATATAAAGAAGGTCTGAACGTGACCCATGTAATGGTAACAAGGCTTTCGTCATTTGTGAATTACACTTTTAAAATCTACGCTAAAAACAGAGTGAGTGAAGTGGCAGAAGAAAGTGGCAGAAGAAAGTTCACGACAATTACTGTACGAACTAATGGATCAAGTAAGTTTTTGATTTTGACAATATGTGCAATATACTGTCACATTAATTAATATTGTTGCCCTAGCTAGGCCGATACATAGATCTCACTCAGATAAGACATCTTTTGATTTTCATTAATTCGATATGCTTTGCTTTGAACCCAAAGTTTCCCAAGTGAAAGACCTGCTTTAAAAGATAAACTAGAGGTCGGTTTTATTGCAAGTGTATGCAACATTACAGCATCACTGCAAATGTAATAATGTGACATGAAAGAGTTATAATATAAATTAAAATTGAAATCGGCGTTTATGTGGGATCTGGCGTTTAATTTAGTAAATACGGTACGCTTGGTTAAAATAGCAACTTAATGGACGACCCCGTATTTTGAGAGTACCATGTGAGATTTGTTGTTCTCCTCTCGACCAGTCGGAGGAAGGTAAAAACGTAAATTTGTTGAGTGTGCTAAAATTGCTGTGCTCAAGGTTTTAGAGATTACGCTTGGAACTTGATTTTCTTAACTGGTTTATTTTACACAATATAATTCCTGGTAAACCCGAAGTCTCGGTTGAACAACCGGAAGAAGCCGTTGTTGTGTCATGGACATTACTAGCGAAGAATGGCGTCATTAAAGGTTATCACGTGACATCCATCAGAGAGGATGACTTTTCAGATATCAAGTCAAGAAGTACACAGGAAACCGAACTGCAGTTTGACAATCTAGTGGCGGGAAAAACGTATGAGTTCCAAGTGGGTACAATTTGAACTCGTAGTTTGGGAAAGCAGTTTACCGCGTCAGCAATTAAGTGTTATTTTGGAGTTTTATGCTAAGAAAGCGAGCAGACAAATAAACAAACAAACAAAAGACAAAAAATAAAACCCGTAAAAGTTCGCTTTGGTTTTTTTCCCCTCAGGTATTTGCAATAAACAACATCGGCGAAGGACCTACTGGAGCGAAGACTTTCACACTAAGAGCTGGTTCGTTTGTTAAATTGAATAGTTATATAATTATCAAGTTAAGATTAACATAATATGTTCCTGCTCTTTGAGTTTCAAGTAAATGATTTTACGTTTATCATTTCCCTTCTAGTCTTGTAAAAACTAGCACAAAAATGAATCACCTAAAGTAAAAACTTTTACAAAAGCTGTGGGTATTTCAGGTCCGTGGGTCATTCGTCCATTCAATTTTTGTTTAAAATCAAACATTGAAAATTGATGTCAATTTTTGATTTTCATGATTTTTTATCCTAAAAAATAAGAAAGTGCCAAATTGAAAATATTTGACTTTTTTCCTTTCGGTAGAACATTGAAACAGCAGAACTTATATTTTGACTTTAAGCCTGTCAACAATGAAGAGAAAAATGGAACTGAGCGGCTATTTTGTTTTTCCGACAATGTTGCAGTCTGTTGCATGGCTTAGTTTTTCTGTTTTCGACGGAAGTCTAAAAATTGAAAATTGAAATCAATTTTCAATTTTTGTTTTTCGACCAAAACAATCCAAATCATTGACAGAACTACCCCAGAGGGAGGGAGAGGGGTCCATTAGCGCGGTAATTTTTTGCCCTCAGCCCCCTCCCCACAGTCCTTGCTTCCTTGCCTGCTTAATTCAGCAGTCTTGGAAGTCACGCTCTCTCTTCGTGGACTTTCGCGACGTTTGGGAACGTTTGGTGTATTAATATTTTGTGCCTTTTTGTCGCTCAGTTCTGTCCACTACGGCGAGCAGCGAGACCTTCGACGTGAGCCAAGAAGGAAAAAAAAGTCTTAGTTTTCGTAACTGGGGTGGTTGATGTAACCACATGGAGACTTCCTCGAGTTTTTCAAGCGCCATATTGTAAGATATAGATTGGACTGGATTGAACTGAATTTGTAAAAAAACGTAATAGAGAGCAAAATTCAGGGGCGAATTAAATCTCTACAATTTCCGTCAAATAAAACTTGTTGATCTGAGCTAAATCCCACCCAGTTTCATTGTTTATAAACCAGTCAGATGTGAGTAGATAACACAAGATTTAGGTCGAGGATAAAACCGTCGGGAAAAATAGTGAATTCGATGTACATCAACTTCGTTGACTTTTTGAAGACCTTTGACTGCATCATCAGAGAGAGACTTTGGGTCATTATGAGGCTCTATGGCATCCCTGACTTCTTCATCAGGGCTTTCAAGGCACTATGTCATCAGAGCTCAAGCTCTGTTACAGAGCGCGAAGGAATTCTAGCTGGTTTGAAGTGAAGAGCGGCGTGGGGTAAGGGTGTATGATCTCTGGCTTCATCTTTGTCTTGATCATGGACTTGGTTATGCGGCACACAATCGATAGAAGACGAATCTTGAGGTGGAAGTTTAAATCGGTTCTAGAGGACTTTGACTATGCCGATGGTGTAATCAATTTTTTATTTATTTAATCATTTAATCTTTATTTAAACACGGTTTAAAAATTCGTCAGCTTAAAAACCTAATCATGATATACTTAATTCCAAATGTCTAATACAATGGGAATAACTAAATAAAAAAGCTGCTTTCCACGAATGCGGTGCCTTAGACATCTCCGGCTTTGAGTAGGCGTTCAAACTGCCTCAGAGACCCTGCTTTCCTTAAGTCACGAGGAAGCCTTTTCGAAAGAACGGCGCCACTATAGCCAAAACTATTTTTATAATAGTTTGTGCGCGACAGTGGAACATCGCGTTTATTCTCAGAGTCCCTTGGATTATATGCG